TTTCAGTCACTCTGGGCCACAGAAATCATTTAGGCAAAGTTCTGTAAGAGGTCAAATCACCAGTACAGTGTCCAAGTCCTCGGGATGCTGCTGGAAGCAGGTCTTGGAATGGCCTTAAAGTGTAACGCCAGACAAATTTTGCTTTTGAAGTTTTAGAACTTCCACCTCCCTACCTATTATTATTATTATTATTATTATTATTATTTCATTTTTACAGAAACCGATATTTGTCCACTTAGTTCTCCAGCTCTATAGGGCCCATGAAGTGCTGAAACCTCTGTTAGGTTTTTATTTCTTTACATGCATAATAGGCAATAGATCTTCTAATATTAATGTCCAGAATTATGACGGTCTTATTAAAGGAGAACTATGGGGTAAGTTTTTTTTCCCCATAGTTTTCCTCAGGGTCACGGGAGCACATAAACTAGCATCCACCCGTGACCCAAAACTCAGTATACCGCGAGCTACAGCTCGTGGTATACTGAGACCGCCGTAGCCTGGGCGGATACCAACATTACTGTCGAGATCCACCCAGCTGCGTGATTGACAGCTGGCTCTGCCTATCTAGAGGCAGATCCAGCTGTACCCTCCCCCGTCCGTTCCTCCCCTCAGCGCTGGAGGATCGGCGCGGGGAGGGGGGAAAACCCTGCAGGCAGCCCTGGACTGACAGTCACGGCTCTCTACAGGGACAGGATTGAGAAGTGAGTGAACGCCGGTATGTGTTCGCTCACTTCCCGATCTACTGAGCCGACCTGTGACAGTCTCATTGTTACAGGTCGGCTCGAACTATGAGGTGAGTGAAAATCACTCACCTCATAGTTCTCTAAGGTCTCTGCACTCTCTGTTCCAGGGTCTGCGCGTTTGCTGTAACCATTATGAGGTGCTTCCACCATCGCTGCTGCGGTTTAATTGAGAATGTAACAGGAGGAGCTGGAACATAGGTGGGCAGGAGCACATAAAAATCCCAGTTGGAGACGGACAGAGTTGGGAATTTCGTCGAGGAAATCCTATTGTATCCAAAACACATAAGACGGACTTGGCCAACTAAGCTCCACCTACAGCTAACATTTTTGCAGACTTATTTTTAACAGTCCTAACCCGGCCGGGTTTAAGAGACAATGTAGCTAAAAGTCGGGGAAATCTGAGCTTTTCAGGGCAGCCCATTGAAATGTTGTTCATGTTTAGTAAATCAGCGGCATGTTGTATACTCAAGTGACCAACCTTCATATCTCTGCAGTCATTTACAGATCTCCCTCACAGACCACAGCTGGTGGACCTGACGGTGGAAGAGGGTCAACGGCTGAAGGTTATTTACGGATCTTCATCAGGTTTCCATGCCGTCGATGTGGACTCGGGGAACAACTATGATATTTATATCCCAGTCCATGTGAGTACTATTCCACCCCTCAGGTTGCAGGACCTGGTGCCTCGGGGGGGGGTGGTTCTAGTCTTATTGTGTTGTGCTCTCTCTTGCAGATCCAGAGTCAGATCAACCCTCACGCCATCATATTCCTGCCAAACACAGACGGCATGGAGATGCTGCTGTGCTATGAGGATGAGGGCGTCTACGTTAACACCTATGGCAGAATCATCAAGGATGTGGTGCTGCAGTGGGGAGAGATGCCAACCTCTGTGGGTAGGTTGTGTACCCAATAAAAGAACTACTCCACCAACAACATTTAACTTTAGAATTGTCATTAAAGTACTAGATGACAATGTCGCTTAAATCTAATCATTTAAAGCTAAAGGTTCTTCCTAAGGGCAGGCATCAGAACTGACTAAGCCGGGTGGGTAAGGATGACGGGTGCCTTTAAAGAGATACTGTAACTAGAGACTGTTACTAGAACCCCCACCTCCCTCCCTTCATATAAGGCAGGGGGTAACCTCTGCACTCCAGCTACAAGTCCCATGACAAGTCAAATCAATGAGGCATTTCAAGATTCAGCCACAGGATTTACTCCCAGAGGAAGAAGCATGATGGTATTTATAGTTTCACCACAGCTGGAGTGCAGAGGTTGCCTACCCCCTGCTATAAGGTATACCTACTGCCAGTGAGTTCGCTATAGTGTTGGAACTCACCCAGGTGGATACAGTCACTGCCTAGTATTTGGTCACCAAGGTCCAAGCATTGTGATGTGCGGGAAGTCCCGTACTCTCCCATACCCAGAAACCCCGCTCGATGAGATCAACAGAAGCAGGGAAGCGGCAAGGGAGTATGATTGGTATAACTTTCTGGGAGTGGGGGTAATTACAGTGAGGGGAATTTATCAAAACCTGGAGCAGCCGCCTATGGCAACCAATTGGATTCTCTCTTTAATTTTCAAATCTTAACTGAAAATGAAGAGAGAAGCTGATTGGTTGCCGTGGGCAGCTGCTCCAGATTTTGTCTGCTCCAGTTTTGGTAAATTCTCCCCCCCCAATGTCTCTTTGAAAAAAGTGTATTTTGGCCATTGGTTACATCACTGCAATCTTCTTCAACTTCTCAGCGTACATCTGCTCCAACCAGATCATGGGTTGGGGGGAGAAGGCCATTGAGATCCGCTCGGTGGAGACTGGTCACCTCGACGGGGTGTTTATGCACAAGAGGGCTCAGCGACTAAAGTTCCTGTGTGAGCGCAACGACAAGGTAATAATCTTTTTATATGGGAACACAGCAGGGATCTTTTAGGGCCCATTCACACCACATCCAGATCATCTCCAGACCAGATTGTTTCCGGACCCAAAATGTATCCCTGTGCTATTTCTAGCCTCTGATCACACCAGCGCAGTCTGTTCCAGACCAGACCAGAAAAATACTGCAGGTCTCATTTTGTCTGGTCTGGAATGCATTGGAACTGCGGGCAGGTTCACATTTACCCTTAATGAGTGCTGAGTGCACTGGTTCAATCTCTGGTGCCTCTGACTTAAGGTCCCCACACACCTTGCGATAATCGTACGATAATCGCGGGAAATCCCTCTACTACTGTACGGTCGCACGACTTTTAACTTACGGACATGTTCGAAAACCCGCCGAGCATCGTACGATGTTCGGCGGGTGTGTGGCATGTTCGTACGATAAAAGCCGCACGGGCCGGTGTGCGCAAACGCACACTGCCCGTTCGGCATTGCGGTCATCGGAAGCCCGCCCCTCAGGGGGGCGCGGCTTGCGTTCATCGCAAGTACGATCTGCCCGTCCAAGATGGGCAGATCGTACGTTTTTTTAATTACCTTACAACCATCGCAAGACAAAAGTCTTGCGATGGTTGTAAGGTGTGTGCCCAGCTTTAGAGCTTCCACAGGGCTGAGGGCATTCTCCTTGACCTCAAATGACAGAGCTGGGTGCCTGACCAACCAATTACCAAGCACCAGTGCTGTCACATGAGAAGATGAGAGTGGGTCACAGGCTCCCCCACACCTGAAAGCTACTTTTCTTATGTTCTAGTGTCTGAAATGAGCGGAGGGGGGGCAGGAAGGTGAGTATGTGCGGCTGGTGGGATCACCTTTTAAAGGAGAACTATGGGGTCAGTGTTTTTCCCCATAGTTCTCAGGGTAACAGGAGGACACAAAGTAGCGTCCTCCCGTTACCCTAAGCTCAGTATACCGCGAGCTACAGCTCGCGGTATACTGAGACGCCGAAGCGGATCCCAACGTAGATGCCGGGATCCGCCCAGCTGCGTGAGTGACAGCTGGCTCTGCCTATCTAGAGGCAGAGCCATCTGTACCCGCCTCCTCCCCCGTCCAGTCAGCGCTGGCGGAGCGGGGAGGGGGGAATCCAGCCCCTCCCCTGTCACGGCAGAGAGCCGTGACAGGATCGAGAGGTGAGCGAACCTGGTATGTGTTCGCTCACCTCCCGATCTACTGAGCCGACCTGTGACAGTCTCATTGTCACAGGTCGGCTAGAACTATGAGGTGAGTGGAAATCACTCATCTCATGGTTCTCCTTTAATGTAAGCCTGTTACTTTACCCGGCATAGATTCACTTTCTGTTATGATACCAGTATTACAGCCATGTTGTATACCTCCATCAGCTGCCTTACACATCAGAAAAGCTGGACCGACATTTCCGGAGCAGATCTGGTCCGGAAAATGGTGTGAACCTGCCCTTAGAAAAGGTTGGGCCACTATGTGTTTTCGAGGCACATTTCACATTCTTCTACAGCTAAGTGGCAGATAACAAGAAATGTCATTCCAGCCCATACCTTGCTTTCTTCATCTTCCAGCCACTGCACATTGGCAGTTGATGGTGAATGCATGGCTATCAGAATATGGCAGCTTGCGTGCTCATTGCAGTCTTTTGGCGGAGGCCCTCGTCTTTTCAACCCGATCCCCCTGGAGGCACGCCCAAGTGGGCAAGGCCTCCTTCCTGCGTCCGCCAATCTTCGTCACCTTTAGTGAGACGGGTACATATTGTACAAGTCCTTTTGTATGCAGAGAGGAGGATTTGACAGATGAGGGAATGTAATATGATTGTATGAGAGAGAAAATAACAGATGAGCGGAGTTCAGTTTAATTTTTCTGGCCTATCCTTGTAATAACGTTTTTCCTTTCTCTGCTCTGTCTCCATCTTCTTCTCACAGGTCTTCTTTGCCTCCGTTCGTTCCGGTGGGAGTAGTCAGGTCTATTTCATGACACTGAACCGCAGCTGTATAATGAACTGGTGAAGGATGGATCGTTTTTGGGGGATTCAATGACAAATTGAGAGACTGCTCCTGATCTCCCCCACACACACTGGAGCCCATCCTTATTTATCCCTCCCCAGAACACATTCCCAATTCCCCTGACACTTCTTACAGCGCCTTGCTTGCTTATTTTATCTACATTTTAATTTATTGGGGTGTTTGATAGCTATAATCCTACAAGGCCAAGAGAAGACGGTTCATTCCCCCATCGCTGTCCCCTCCAGTATTCAGGGGGAGATGGAGCCAGGGAAGGTGAAGATTGAAAGATTCCAGTGATTACACTTTAGACTTTACTCTCGCTGAAGGTTTGTACACCTTAACTCATGTGTCAATGCAAACAAAGTGTCCTGTGTGGGTGTTATATGGGCCCCAGTGTTTGGCAAAGCTCGGATTAATGGCGCTTTATTGGGGGATAGGGATTTATTGGGAAACCACCTTCTAACTACTTATGGAGCGTGAGCCAGCAATTTCATGGCAGATCCCTTTTTGGGGAATACGAGGAGCCAGTTATTTTTCAGAGGTTAAAAAAACAAACAATTGTTGAAATGGAAGCTTCCTGTGCTTTTGGGGTCATTTCAGACCCCATCGCGGTACCTCTTTTATATGCTAACCCTTCTCAAACATTTGATTAGGAGTGTTCACTAATGGCACATTTACCCTTTTAAAAGCACTTTATTGAATATATAAACCTGTATGAATCCAAAGTCTCCTTCTCCTGACAAAAAATATCCTTAACAGCCCCTCCTGCACAGTTTATGCTGCAGTTAGTTCCTTAGCTTGCAAATTTTTATTACCGTATTTAGTTGTTTGTTTCTAGCGACTAACCAGCTCCCCCCCCCC